TGATATCCAATCTAAACCTCCCCACTTTCAATTTAAACCCATTACCCCTTGTCCTGTCACTACAGGCCCTTGTAAAAAGTCCCCCCCCAGCTTCCTTGTAGCCCCTCCAGGCACTGGAAGGTGCTATAAGGTCTCCATTTTAAAATTTAAACATTTTCTAGCAGACTCCTCCTCAGTTTTTTGGTCTTACCCAAAATAAGATCCTTTGGCACTGTACAGATTCATTAAAATGCACATTTTAACACCATACTTTGCAATACAGACAAAGAGATCTTAGTCTGAAGAGTTTTCCTTATCCATATTCTTGCTACTCTTTCCATTGCCCCATCTAACTCCAGAAATTTTACAAGGGAAAAAAATGCCTAAGGCAATGAAAACGTTCTTTCCTAAGTGCAACTTCTGGCTTTGTGTCTTGCAGGTACCCATCATCATTCCAGTCATAGTGACATTAGTCTCCATCTTACTGGTACTGGCACCAATCATCAGTGCGCCTGAACTGGCTTATCTCTACTGCGTTTTATTTATACTGAGTGGACTTATAGTTTATGTACTTTTTGTTCATTTTAAGTTCAACTGGCCCCAGAAAATATCGAGTAAGTATACCTCACCTAGCTACTCCATATTCAACAGAACGTTGCTAAGCTTTAAGGTAATTACCGTAATGAAGCTCATTACATGGTCCATCCCATCTAAATCACACAGTGGGGTGTGGAGGGAGGCAATTTTCCAGACAGAGTGAGCTTTACCCCTTCCTAGGAAAAACAAGCAATGCCTGACCAGGAAAAAAGAAACAAGTCACAAAAAAGCAATACATCACCATAGCAGCACCAAAAAAACCTGGCTTTTAAAGAGAACTATTTTATCAGTAGTTAGTTTTTTGGTTGTCCAGATTTCAAAACATTGCTTTAGCTTTTAACTAAAGATTAGCAGTCATACATTCTTACAGCACAAAATATGGTGTTTTTAGCTCAGGTTATCGATTCTACTATACTTTTTAAAGAAAATGTTAACAGCATTAAGACCAAAAATAATCACAGCGCTGCTGAGTAAAGTGAAAGCTGCAAGAACCCAGTGCGGCCGCTTATAAAGTGATTTTGCACAGTCCCAAGAGAAACTCTTTACCGTTACCTAGGAAAACAGGGTAGAACCAGCTGAAGAGACAGAATTAGTAGTTCTACAGACATTAAAAAAAAAAAATAAATCCATTATCTGTCTCTCCTGCCTCCCAGGCTTAGTAAATATTGTGTAATTCAGCAGTCAGAAGCATTGTACTCTAGTAAGAGCAGGTTTAGAAACTCAGGAATGTTTGTAGCCTGGATCTTAAGATTGGTTTTATTCACCATTCCCTCTCCCCTCCCTTTTTTTTTTATGTCTGAGATATGAAACAACAGACAACTACTCACAAGGACAGTTTTCTCACTTAGAAAAACAGTGTTAGTGTGAATAAAAACAGTGTTTTCTCAAAGCCTCTAACAGTGTCTTTTTTTCCCCTCAGAGCCCATCACTATGCACCTTCAGATGCTTTTGGAAGTTGTTCCAGCAGAGGAAGTTACTGAATGAAGTATTTTAAACGTACCAGGTTGTTTGTAAGTGCTATAGTGGTTGAAGGAGATGCCATGTGGTTTGGCACACCTTTATGCTTTCTCAACGGTTGTGTTCATACTGGTGTATTATTTTTGCAACGCTTCAGTACTTGAAAAATGTTAAATATGTAAAAATAAAAGATTTCTGAGCCAGACTACAGTGTCCAGCAGAGCTGTTTTCACTGTTTGCTAATACGTCACAGTATTTTGTCTTCTGCATTAAAATTACTCCAAATAAACAAAAGGAATTTTTCCATTGTGAAGACAGCAAAACTTACCAGCCACACTGTCCAGACACTTCTTATCACACTGCTGAAGGAACGGAGCGGCCATCGCTTACAGCACCACATGCAACAGGCCACAGAGAATGGCTGCGCCTATGTCATTTCTCTCCTAACTCCATTCCCAGTTTCTCAGACCAAACACTAATTTTCAAGAAATTCAAGACTGCAGAGGGGGAATCAAGTAAAAATCAAAAGCACAGTTGACAGAAGAGGCTGATTTTTTTTTTTTTTTAATTAAAACACAATAATCAAAGCTTAATTTCTCAGGTATCTGTTTTCTCCAACACCAAGTTAAAGAACAGTGAGTAAATGCCACTCCTCAGCATGAGTGTGACTTTAGAGGTAACTTCTTCATCCGAGAAACACTCCATTTGGTAGCTGATGAAAATAAAATACAAGAAATAGATACTACATTAACATATAGATGTAAGCAGCTTTTACTTTTCCTACCCAAGAAACTTATGGATTCCTCGTAACATTCTTTGACTGTATTCCTTCAGAGCAAATGGATAAAGAAAGGAATTTTATCCAGACACTTGTCAATATTTCAAAGTGATTAATTTGAGAAAGACTTTCTATCAAGGTCACAATTCCTCATCTTAACTTTTAAGCACATTTATCGTAAATATATAACACAGAAACATTAAGCAACTGGCTTAAGACTGTACATCCATACTGACTCTAGCCAAGCAAATTCAACTAAAGAAGCTGTTTCTATCATCCTGCAGTGACAAAATAAAACTTATGTTCCTATATATTTCATTTTTTCATCTACCTACATGAAAAAGCAATCCCAAACGTACATATAAAAATGAGGGGTTCCGATTCATTTGAAGGAGATTTTGTGATCACAGTCAGATCCATGAATGTATTAGCTCCATGTGCCATCAGAGCAAAACAGCAGCAAAAAGAAGGTGAAGAATGAATAAAGCAGGCGGTGGAGAACAAAACAAAATTGTAATTATGCCATTACATATGAAGCACCTACTTGCCACAGCTTTTTGTCCCTGTCACGCTATTACACTTGCTGTTTCCCTACCCAGCTGGTAAAAGCATCACTTCAAAACAGAAGAACTGCAAGGGTCAGGGAAAGCCCAAAGGAACAGAATGCTTCTGTATACGGAATGACTGTCTACTGCAATCGTGAAAGCTGAACACAGACACCCGACTGGGGGATGAGGGGAAAAATGGGTGACAGAGGTTCACAGGCAGCATTAAATGACAAGAAAATGGGAAGAGCAAGCTATGTATTCCTATTCCATGTTGAGGGTACAGGATTTCAAGCAGACACAGCAGGGATGGCTTCCAACAGAGCAAAAATTATTTTGTCACAAAATGTGTTGTTTGACTACCAACTTCCTTCATGAAGGAGCAACATTAGAAGCTGACGTAGGTTCCAAAACGCAACTAACCTAATTGAATTAAGAAGTCCATAGAAAATCTATTCCTCATGAAGACCATTATCAGTAATTGCTTGAGGCCAAAAGAATAGTTTTCAAATGTATTGCTACATTTTTCACACTGTTCTTCATGAGCTGGCTCTTGGCAGCCGCTAAGAATTCATGGCTAAAGCCAGCTTTTGCTCCTACCTCATGTGAAGTGTCTCACTTTTCAAACAAGAATTACAGATAATTTATGTCTATTAAATCACCCACTAGATTTATCTACCAGCAGGAAAAAAAAAAATAATCACCTTATATTTAGGTATCAGACAAGTCCAGGAAGAACAAAACACACAAAGGAAAACATCCTGCCCCATCACTCTTTTTATAATGAGGTAGTTGAGTGTCTTGTCTTTGCACCACAATGCAGAGCAGGACCAAAACACACATCAGCTATTCCCTTAAGCCCTGTTAAAACTACAGCTTTGCAGTTACCTGTGCTCAGGTGAAGCTTATAATTAAGCTCAGTCATAGCCAGGTTCCCAACAACACTTATTTTAACTATCAGACACCAACAATTTCAACTATTTCCATCACATGGCAGTTTTCCGCTGGCATCAGCAGTATCCTTAAACACTCAGAAAGCAGCATCCTAATACTAGAAAAACCTGTAACTGTCAGTGTAAACTTAAGAATACGGTCCTCCTCCCGTTCCTGAAGTAAAGGCATCCCAATGTTTCCTGAAAAAAATAATCCCCAACAAGCAAGTACATTCTTTCTAGTCAAGAATACAACAAAATTTTAGGCTTCTAAAATCTGTAACATTAAGTCTCTAAGCCACCATATAGTTATGCTGTGGAAACTAATGTGCTTGCATCTGTAGATTTATAAGATATCAACACCAGATTAATTTAAGTATCTTTAGCATTATTAATTCACTGTAAGAAATTCTGGATGTGCACAAATTCAACAGTAAAAAATTCTCTACTGAAAGATGAAAGATTAAAAAGGCAAAGCCTTAGGGCTAAACAGACAAGATTTTATTGTTGAATTGTAAAGGAGAAAGGACTTTTAGATTCGTGAGGGGGAATGAAATAAGCATTCGTGAAAAGAGAAAATGTCAAAGTGAAAACAACTAGTGAATCTACTACCAGAGTGCTGGTTCCGCAGCAGCTGTACAGCAGTTCATTACCACAGCGAGCTGCGCTGTGCAGTGCTTCAGGCCAAGTCAAGGAACAAGAATTGCCACAGGAGGTGAGGCATCATTTCTCGATTGAGAACTGCGATGACTGCCAACAAACTCCTACTGTGACTGAGGGACAGAGTAGAAAATCAACATACCAGGATTTGTGAAACTTCAGAAATTGCTACCTATTGCTAACACAGCACATTCGCTCAGATACAGTGAACCAGAAGCTCTGTAATTACCAATAAATTCAACTGCCTCACAAACCCAGTTTAATCTTCAGATTTTACTGTTTGGAGGGCACACGTACATATATGCAAATCATCACTGAGGCCAACAATTTTAAAGTGAAAGCATTAGAAAAAATAGACAATATTCTTCTATGGAGTATTTCTTCAGATGATCAGAGTCCAAAAAGTAAGGAGTTTCGTCACTATTTTCCTCCTAAAATCAAGGACAGTTCTGCAAACTGTATGGTTTAGTTTTATCAATTTCAGTGGAAACCCTCATGCAGGAGGCACAATTTTGAAGCATAATTGTTAGAGGAAAAAGATCTGTTCCCCAGTTACTCATCACTGTCTGTTTCACTGTCTTCTGTGGAGGCAACCAATTCTTCAGTCAATGCAGCACTGCAATGCATTTTTTTTGTACCTACAAATAATTAACAAGTGTAACTTTTACAAAGCAAGAAAAACCAAGAGCTTCAGAAGAAATATGTAGTGTAAAAAAAACCCACAAAACAAAACCAAACCACAAAAAAAACCCCACCCTTCGGACTACAAACTAGACCATATCTGAAATAAATATTTCAGATAAAGCCTATGCAAAAATGAGGATGCTAATCTTTCATGCACTATAAACACTGACTCGGTCATTCCTTACCAACTGGAAAAGGGCTTTTATCTTCAAAATCTTCCCAGTGTTCAAAATCAAAAGACACATGAGAATTCTGTTGACAAAAAGCACAGTCTGAAATACCTGCACTGATGCACAATGAACATGTAGAGAACATTCAACAACTCTCCAATTAATTTTCACTTCACCTTGTTCTTCAGCAATTTGCACCATGCTCCTTTTTTCTCTTTTGCGAGAACAATAACAGCCTCTTGATCCTTAATCACACATGCAGACTCCTCTGCAAGTATATACTGATGCAGCTCCAAGTCAGCCAAATAAAGTTTGTCTCCTGAATAAGCACTACATTATAAAAAAGAAGTTTAAAAAAAATTAAATGCAAACTGGACAGTCAAATATTTCGTTGTACTTAAAAGATTTTAAGCCTACCTGAAAACCACCTTCTCTTTAGAGAATTCACATTTACTGTCAGCTGCACTTGCTATTTTCACCTTCACTGTAACAGTGTCTTCATTTTGAAACCACTTTATTTCTGGATGAAAGCTAAAATAAAGAGAGTTTAATTGGATTTTTTCCAAAACAGAAAACCAGCTGAGTTTTAGACAAGGTGTGTCACATACGGCCAGCTGAGTTTCAGCATCGGTAGGTGTACTCAACCAAAATAATCTGACACTGAACAGCAGTGTCAGGAAAGTGCATGATCGGATGGTGTCTAATCGGAGTTGATGCAATTTCAACAGATAAAGTTAGCTCCTAGGAGCAGGAAAGAGAGGAATTTAAAACACTTCTAAGGATTCACGAGATGATGTGTATAAATATGCACATACACATGACCGCAACAGTAATCTCTCAAGCTCAACACCGACATAACAGGACAGTTCTACCTGTATCATCGCTATTTACTCACAAAACAGATCATCTCAGTACGGATGGTTTTCCCATTTCACATTAAAAAGCAAGCATAGGCACAAATCACACTGAATTTTTGTACCATGCACGGCGACGCAGGGTAGAGTCTTCTGCTTCCTCAGTTTGAGCCACACCATCTAAAAATAAGAAATCCAGTACACTTAGCTATACTGTAGAAACCAGATACTTCCAGAACAGCCCAGTAGCAGCACAAAACTAACTCGCCACCAATCAAACTACTACTGCGAGACAGTACTTGGGATTTATATGTGTTACTTCCTATTTGGAAAGATTTCATGAAGTTAATAAATCAACTGAAAACTTTAATGAATAGAGTATTATAGTTGGTATAAGGAAAACAAAAAGCCCACCAAAAATGCAGTTTTCTATGTTGGGTAAAATTTTTCCAGTTTCAAGACATTATTTATTTGAAGCCTGTGTGTTGCCATCACAGCCTGACACGTGGCATGGGTCAGTCTACCAGGAAAAAAAGCCTTATCTGCAATAAGCACTTCAGGACCTTATCTGAATTTTGTCTGCTGCACCTTTCTAATCCCTCAGCTTTCAAAGGATATTGACCAATTGGAGCGAGTCCAGAGGAGGGCTGCAGAGATGATCAGAGGGCTGGAGCACCTCTGCTATGATGAAAGGCGGCAAGAATTGGGCTTGTTCAGCCTGGAGAAGAGGAGGCTCCGAGGAGACCTCATTGCAGCTTTCCAGTATCTGAAGGGGCTACAAGGAAGCTGGGGGGGACTTTTTACAAGGGCCTGTAGTGACAGGACAAGGGGTAACGGCTTTAAATTGAAAGTGGGGAGGTTTAGATTAGATATCAGGAAGAAGTTCTTCACAGAGAGGGTGGTGAGGCACTGGGACAGGTTGCCCAGAGAAGCTGTGGATGCCCCATCCCTGGGAGTGTCCAAGGCCAGGCTGGATGAGGCTTGGAGCAACCTGGTCTAGTGGAAGGTGTCCCTGCCCATGGCAGGGGGTTGGAACTGGATGGTCTTTAAGGTCCCTTCCAACCCAAACCATTCTATGATGCTATGAAACTCATGTGCCAAGCGCTGCCAGATTGTCCTCTGTCCCACTTCTACGACTGACAAAGCCTCTACTGACTGAATACCACTTCCCTGAACATTAAAGGGAAGGGAAACAATCCCGAGTCTCTCAAGGACAGACTGTTTCCCAAAGAGTAATACAGCTGTATCAATATGGTTTGCTCCCACATCATCTCCAGGCTGCCAACCCTAAGGTGTTTGTGACTTACTGTAAACGTTAGCTATATGGTGCTGTTCCGTACACTCAGAGAAGTCTGCATCTGGCAAAATGACTTTTAGGTTGACATTTAAACACCTACCTTTAATTAACGCTTTAAAATTTTTGGTAATTATTAAAAGGTTTACCACATGGATAATTCTCAAAAGTAATTTTAGAAGAATTACTGTTTTCCATAGAATTTTCTTGTATTGATGTATTCTGGGGATTGGACGCATTCTCTGGACCAGCTGTATCCTCCTTTATGCTTCTGAGCACAGAAAAAGACATATTTTTTGTAAGAAATGGTTTAAATATGTTTACTATCTAAAGGATTCCTAATCATAGCTGGAAATCCTTTCAAAGCTAAGTTTTTCATTTTAACATATACAAAATATGCAATAAAACGTATTTCCAGCAAACCATGAATCTCACCACAGCACTGCTGAACTTCAGTACCTCAGTAAGAAGCACTGATGCAGCAATCCAAGTTAGGAGACCACTTAAAATCTAATGATACCAGCATTTCCTTTGAATCATAAAAATTGATTGGCATTACTGTGTGTGATAGACCTCGACAGGAAAATGATTCCCTTTCACAAAGAATTCCAGTGGGTTTGGGTGATTTGGGGTAATTTTGAACTTGAGAAAGTAAAAATTTCAGAGAGTATTCAAAGTCCTTCACTGATTGGCAAGAGAGCTCTGGCTTTCCAGCTGTACAGCCAGGGGCTTCACTGATTCGGGAAATGTCGCAGAGTTCATCTACTTGAGAGCTCAAAGAAGCACCACAACCCCCCGCTCTTCAACGGCCTCGGAAGTCTCCATCAAAACATTACTGAGAACACAGCGCTGTACAATTTCTGAAACACTGAGTCATCTGTCCGAATGAAAAATACTTTCTTCCTTTACCTCCAAACACCTGGTGGCCTAAGAGGGCTGAAACCAGTCTAATAAACCATCATTTAATGTTTCAGTCTGCATAAATAAATACTAACTTCTAAATGAATCCATACTGAAGATTTAGTATTAAATACCTGTACAGTCACCTTTATGGTGAGCTGTGCCAGTTCTCAACAACTACCTTGGAGGTAAGCTAGTAAAATGAAAGTGATTTTCATCTTAAATGAGAGATAATTTTAACCACTTCCACCTCTAAAAAAAATGCTTATCAGTTTTTCCAGATAATTCCAAGTAAACAATTCCTTGAGGCTAGGTACAACACAGCACAGCCAATTCAACCTAGCGTATTTTTAGAAACTAGTTCTGAGTTACAGACTTGCAAGAATCAAGCAATTCAAGAAGTCAAGTCATCTATGATGTACTGCTTCGGAAAGCCAGAGCCAGAGAATCTCATCTCACCTTAAGGCAACCAAAGTTGTGCAGAAATGCTTAATTCACACGTCACACAGAAACCCTGTAAACAGCCGCCGAGCAAGGAGGTGGCTCGCCAGCTAAAGGAGGACTGGAAAAGTAGGGGGCTGCAAACCAGGCAAATAGAGTACGAAGTCAGACAAAAGGTTCTCATGCAACATCTGCAAGGAACTGCTGAAAATCAACACAACCAACAGGCAACTACATATTCTGCAACGTTTTCTAACACTGGTGTCTTTGCACGATGGTTATGGGGGTAAAGAATAGCTGAAGGAACGTAGACATATCACAAACACATTACTGTGCCTCTGCTTAAATGAAAACCACATTCAGTAACCTTAATCGTGGAAATATCCAGTCAAAATTAAATGATAGCATTTTTGCCTAGGAAGATATATGCTAAAAAAAAAAAGTGACCACTTACAAAAGCTCTGAGTTCTTTGCAGGCTCTGATAGTTTCATGTGTCCACACAACTTCTGAAGTTGTGTTAGGTGTTCTGGATTGTCAGTTCCCAGACCCGTAGACAGAATCTGGGATCGAACGTTGTATTCCTTGACACACATCTTCAAATCTGAAAACCTGGTAACCCGGACCTTGAATTACAAAACATACTACATGGAGACCACAGTTCACAAATGGTTTCTCTCCAACTCTAAGCTGGTTTTTAAGCAAAACTTTAAACATGCCTCCATTTACTTACACCTGTAAGCACTTAGTTTTCACTCATTTTCAAACAGGAGCCTACCCACATTTAACTGTTTTCAGAGCATCACCATCTTTTTCACTGTGATAATGGCTCAAGGAACTAGTAGCTAGTCCCATTAGTACCGAGAGAGCAATGAGGTAAACGATCCCAGCCCTGATTACACTAATTATGGCCAAAATACACACCACAGTTAGAATAGCTTCTACAGTAAAACTGCTGGGGCCCAGTGGGGGGCACACTAAGAAAAACCCTAACCAAAACCAAGAGCACAGGTAGCAAAGAAAGGCTGAAGACACCAGATGGAACTACTGAAGAGAACTACCTCCCCATCTTTCTCCACTTTATTTTTCAGCTGAATGAATGGTCAGATGGAAAATAGCATGACACATTCCAGAGTACAGGAATAACTTACTGTACTCTTTGGCAGGACCACAGCCACACCACAATCCTGAGATGCAGGGAAGCCTTTCCAATGAGCCTGACCAGACCATACAAGAAATTTAAAAAAATCCCTCAACTCGCGAGCTATCTCTGATAGCAATTCTTCACAGAACTCCTTGTTCATAAAATGAAGTTATTTCTTAACAGATATCATAAAAACACAACTAGCTTGTTCGTACCATTCGCAAAGGCTTGAGAGGCACCTCAATTTCCACCCTTTGATGAACTGTCAGAAAAGATCCCTGCCTTTAAAAAAAACACCTCCTTTCAGGTAAAAAACAGCACTGGGGCAATCTCCTACCTGCAAAGTTTAGGGAGAATAGAAGAATACTCAAGGAAAACCACTGCATGGATGAGATACTCTCTAATTTTCCCCTAGCTATCACTTTTTGTCAACAGGAATTGTAGTACTTGGGCTTACAAGGAAGCTGGGGGGGGACTTTTTACAGGGGCCTGTAGTGACAGGACAAGGGGTAACGGGTTTAAATTGAAAGTGGGGAGGTTTAGATTGGGTATCAGGAAGAAGTTCTTCCCAGAGAGGGTGGGGAGGCACTGGAACAGGTTGCCCAAAGAAGCTGTGGATGCCCCATCCCTGGAAGTGTCCAAAGGCCAGGCTGGATGAGGCTTGGAGCAACCTGGTCTAGTGGAAGGTGTCCCTGCCCATGGCAGGGGGGTTGGAACTGGATGATCTTTAAGGTCCCTTCCAACCCAAACCATTCTATGATTCTATGAATATTTGGTCCAGGCCAGTACTGCCTTTCTAACAGGCCAGGGAACTGACAGAAGAACAATACAAACATGGCACTGACTAACATTTTAATTTCAGGATAACTTAAAAAAGTCAGCTCCAAGAGAACTGATAATTAAAGCAATTATTTCATCACATCTGAGATGACTGCAATAAGAAGTAATCTGAATATCTGAAAGGTCAGAATCACAGCCTTTATCCAATTGATGGTAAAGGTCCTCTTCCAAATGCTGACAGAGAGAAATTCAGTTTACAAAGAAAAACACTATGCATTAACACTCAAGACCAAGACGACTTCTAGATTTTAGTGTACGTAAAATTATTTTTAAAAATCCAAGAACAAGAGCACACGCTCTCTGTTCTAATCTTTCTATTCTCATCAATAACTAACTAATCTAATTCTATCTCTAAACCAGTCCAAGAACCATAGAAGATAGCAAACACTTAAAAATATAAAGAGAATAAATTAAGTCTAGCATAAGATATCTTATATCATCAGCAAACAATCTTGAAAGCTAAAAGCTTAACTCTTTCAGAGGAAATGTGTGACAAACTATGGAGTTGATTTTACATGACAAAACACTAAAAACCAGTACTTCTAAAATACACTTTTGTTATCAACTTAGTGAAATAGTCTGGATGACATTTATAATTAATTTGGTGCTGTTACTGGTGCTTATTCAGGTCTCCAGATATACAGTTCATGTTTTACTCAGTCACACATTCCATCTACATGCAAGCACACGGATTTATCACAGAAGGGCTGAGGCTGAAAGGGGCCTCTAGAGGTCATCACGTCCAACCCCCCTTGCTCACACAGGGGCACCTCGAGCCAGCTGCCCAGGACTGTGTCCCGATGGCCTCTGAGTATCTCCAAGACTGGTGACTCCACAACCTCTGAGCAACCTGTTCCAGTGCTCAGCCACCATCACAGTAATTAACCAACACTCTTACACATATACCAGGCAGAATACCTTAAAAAAGGAACTGACAGGAGGAAAGACAAGAATGGATGCTCTTGTTATAAAGGAGTTCAGATACAAATATTTTGTAATGCTACAAGTCTATACCTACCATTGGGTCAACCCAAGCTGTATTTCCCAAGGTATGTACTATTTTTGCTTCATGTAGTTTTCCTTTAATCATGTGATTAATATAATGAGTTACCTAGGAAAAACATATTTTCACTGCACTTTAGATGTATACCAACACAACTTTACAGTTTTTTTTTTAAATTATAACGAAACAAACTTTTGAGCTAAACAAAGAAAAAGGTATTCAATAAATAAAACCTGTTTGGGGTAAACCAGTGAAATACTCCAACTTTACTGCAGGTTAAAATAGTATTAGCCTTTAAGGAAGGTGCTTGCTTAATGGAAGAATACTCAAACACTTTGCAGAGGCTGTGCTTCCCTTGTTGCTCCCCACAGAGATTCAAACGCAGCAAGAAGCTGCCATTTAATCACAGAAAAGAAAAACTCATATATTTCACTTCATTATTTTGTAGGAAAATAAACAAGAAAACTGACTACTTCAGCTGACCAAATAGCAGATGTATATTGGCAATACTAATAAGCAATTAAATTTGGTAACTAAATTTGCAGTTCCTAACTGTTGGCCTGCAGAAAATAACACACAAATTAAAGAACTTAAAGGAAACACCATGAAAAACCTGGGAAGTATTACCTTGGGGTTCCATTCAATTTCATTATCAATTGGTTTTACTCTGCAAACCACAAATTCCACAGCCTGAGGTGGCAGACACAGAAACTTTGCAGGTAAGTGAAGCAGCTGGTAGCTCTGAACTCGACTTGTTCTGCCTTCATCTATGTACTGGATTTTGACGTTAAAGAACAAGCTTTCCTCCTCTTTTGGGGAAATCTCTACCACCTGAACCCTTCGCAGAGTAGGAGAGGAAACAGAATTATTATTCATATAATAAGTTGCAAGAAGTTTTTTTAATCCACTCTTGTTTAAAAAATAGTATTTGTATAGCAAAATATCTGTGCGTGAGCGTGTGGGTAGTCATTCTGTTTTCCATCTGGTAACTCTGAGTATGTCACAGTTTGTTAAAGAAGGATTTGAGCAGTAGTGATTTTTTTGCTGGTTTTAGTGAAAAAGTTAACCCACCCCCAAACAGTTTAAGTTTTAAATTACTTTGTATAAAAACGTGCACATGAATAATGAAAAAAAAGCAACATTTTTACCTGTGAAAAAGTGTTTTCTCACATAATCCATAGAATGCCAGCTTCTCCACATTTTTAACAGAAATTTTATTGCTAGGGTTCTTAAAATACTCATTAATTTCTTCAGCAAGAATTGTATATTGGTCCTTCTGTTCATCTACTATTCGACCAAAGTAGTTTGTTGCATTTACAATGTGGAGAGGCAGTATCTGAAACAAGAATACATTAGAAAAAAAAAGAGGAGGGCCTAATGATTTCTTAAAATTAATGAAATGTTAAGTTCTCACATTCAAGATGACCTACCTCTTTCCAGCCCCAAGAGGTGACAGAGATGCCTGCACACACACATTTCAGAAGATCATGAGTTATTGTATTATGAATAACACTAACTGCTCACAGTCCAGCCAACAGTAGACAAAAATTTGCGGAGCAAGAGCTGTTAGGCCTCGGTTGGAAGTACTCCACTTAAACGGACCCCAGTGAGCCATAGTGTTACCCACCACGCTTCTAACCACATCACCCAAGCTTAATTCTGTGCTCTCCAACCTTACAAATGAGTTTTCGAACTGAGTGGGGAAGCATGAGGCCTCCACTCTTTTTGCACTAAAACCACTTAAATGAAGGGCTATGAACATACTATCAACACCAACGCATACAATGCTGGGTGCATTCAATCCAAAGGGTCATGGGCGTACTGAGACAGAGCTGGGTGTATGAGATAGCAAGAGGACCAGCAAGGTAACTTCCACTCAATAAAAATCCTAAAAAAAGCACAATGCAACGTGAGGTTTTTAAAGGAAAGAAACAGCATACTGGGTTCCAAACCAAAAAGAAAGTCAACACAAAGTGATAACTGATTTGTAAGACAGACTCAGGCTCTGCACTCAGCAGAATTAGATGAGGAAACGGAAGAGGCCACAACTGCCATCGTGATGCAAGTATGTGCAAGCTTCTAATAGGAGTGTTAGGAAATCTGTCCACTAAATCTGGCCAATCCATCCAGCACCAGAATGGGACACATGCAGGCAAAGGCTCTGAACTCATACCTACCAACAAAACCTTATTTATTAGGCAGAAATGGGTTGATACCACCAATCAGTTCTCCTTTTTTCTATCCTCACAATCTCCTGGGAATGGACAACACCCACTAACTGCATGGCCTGAAGACACCTGAATTCTGCAAGACAGGATGATGGCAGAAGCAGCTCATCCAAATGGAAGGCATCCAGCACTTCTCACACCCAAGTGCTAACTTTGGAAGGAAGCACCAAAGTCTACACACTTGCCCTCAGCAATCACCATCCAACAAAGAGACAAGAGAGACTGTACAATCCTGCTGTATGGGAAGACACTCCAGCACAGAAGGAACCGAAAAGGCAGGTGAAGGGAGCTTGACAAGCAAACTGTCACTGGGATGTGAAGAATCACCATAAGTATAGTCAACCCCATAGCCATGAAGGTTTCATGGCTTAAACCATTAAAAAAAAAAAAGGCCAATTAGAACTGCACTCTGTATCAAAATGGTTTTCAGAAAGCACCGATATCTTAATAGGAAATAACTGCTCCATCTGGAAGATAAGGGAGGATCTGTGCTCCACTTTCTGTGGATACTGTCACTTGAAACTAGTATTTTAATTTGCAAGGCCAGAAAATGCTCTTTTTTCAGCAAATTTGCATAGACATGTCAGCTCAGAAAAAAATCCCCACTTCCTAGAAAACATGCATCATCTTCCACTTCAAATTCTTTTCACTCCGAAATAGGAATCTGTCTTTCCTCTACAAAAACCAGAATTGAAGCTTCTATGAGCTTTAACTTTCGTTAACTTCAGTATATGGACTCAATTCATAGAGGGAAGGAATAAACGGGACAAAAGCCTTCCCACAGAACGGGAATCTTCAGTGCAGAAGAAAATCTGAGGCAAACTCAGAATCACGTGCAAAACAATTTCAATTCAAGCTAAGGATTAAAGGAAAATCTGCCACACTTATTTAAGGAAAAAAGCACACCCCCCACCCCAATTACCCCAGAGATACTAGTATACACACTATAGTAATATTAACATAATACAAAAAACTCCAGTAATATGCCAAGTGGCTATTTAAGACCTGCCGTCTTGGTACCCAAACCCAAAGTAAATAACAACAACTTACTGTCACACATCCAGGTGTTAGTATAATCTTATCTGGTACATTCTGAGGCATGTCTATTTGCAAATTAATTTGATGACGATCTGGACACACTGTTCTATTCCTATGTATTAAGAAAACTGTTTCAGAGAAAAGCCCTCTGTTTTCAGCTGTAAGCCACAACAAAATAGTTTACAACAGATTTAAACACTAAAAAACCCCTTTCATTAGCCTTTAATATTCAATTTGTGTCTCAAATAGCACCAGTGACTCTGAGGGTTGGACAGAAATGGCCAAAAAGCTTTTTGGTGGAAGAGGTTGTACAACAAAATAAACTCCAGAAAACTTGTTTCAGAGTAAAAAACCAACACACTAACATTGAATTTTTTGTTACTTGTGACAACAGTTACCTAAAATTAAAGTCATACCTGAGAATACTTTTGCTTCCTCCTTCAAGAGGAGGAATTTCAATCCAGTGACACAGCTCAGAGAAGTCATTATCTACTTACCCACTCTGGAGGGACAGGAGATGATAGGCAAGAGAGTAAGGCACAAAACTTGTGCAATTATGATCAGAATACTAATTAAAACAATACTTTCAAGCTCCCTCAATTACATCTAGGCAAGAGTTGTAATGAATTATGCTACTAACGAGAGATTATGTATAATTGGTCTCCATAATACCAGTATTTTTGCTTTTATAGGAGAAAAAACCCGATTCAGCAGTGAACAGGAAAAAAATGATCACGATCTAAATCTGGTTTGAATCAAAGTATCCAACAGGAAAATTCCTCAAGGAAGTAGCAGTCATCATTCAGGGCATACAAGCCTTCCTGGGTCAGTATGGGTGGCAAGAAAATTTGGCATTTCCTTACTTGCAAATCCCAAATGTTTTAAGATAGGCACACAGTGGCCTTGAAGATTTCTTCTCTTCCTCAGCTTCTAACATCTTGGCAGTAAAATCATGCAGTTCTGGTGGGATTTCAGCTTCTGCATGCTCCAAATAGCGCAGGATTCCGAGTGCACGGGATGCACTGTTCTCTGTTAGCAGAATGACTGACCTTGCCTTTGTATATTCACAACCTACAGAAGAATCCTAAAAAATATGTTTAAAAGCTTTTACGTATCCACCACTAAATACTCAAATGTAGTATTAACCCATTAAAGATTTACTCCAACCTTTATCACATTATAGAAGTTGTCAGACATGCCGTGCAGACGCAGAGCAAACATTCTTGGAGAAGGAAAACTGAAATGTATCACGCAAGTCGCGTCTGTAATTCCCAAGGACTGCATGCAATCATCTGTTAAAACTAAGCACATGTTTCATACACACATAAAATAACTGCCATACTTCAAGCATCAAAGTATTACATCACATTAGCAAGGGCTGTTTCCTTTTCCCCACCCACTGACTTAAGTAATAAAAAGGTCTTTTCCAATACACTTGCTTACGGATCATAGTTCTTCAGTCAATACACTTCATAAGCATACAGAAGAACCAACATTTCATGTTAGTCTCTAATAATCAGCATAATTCTGTATCTCATCAGTATCACAGAACAGACTTGTGCACAGCCAAGTACTTCACAAGAGTAAGATAGGAAACACTTGAGGTGACACGGGAATGTTACCACCTTTGGGTGAACTTACAAAGCAGATGTAAATAACTCCATCTTCTTGCTTTTGACATACGAACCCCCCAAAACAAAGTCTGAAACTGGCTAAGAGTCTCTGCTACTGCAAATAACTTAAAAATAAAATTCCATGAGAATATACAGAAAATGACTACAGTAAGTCTTTGGAGTTTCTAAATTATTTCAAACTGAAAATACCCTCTGTCATAGGAGTCAATTATGAAAACATGGCAATACTCTACAAGTACTAGTAGTCCTTTTAAGTAACACACAAAAAACCCCACTATGTTCCCTCTAGCAAGTAAGGTCTTCCCTCGCAGCTGTTAACCCTGAGACCCAGGAACAACAGAAAGAAAGAAAGAAAAAACCCAGCTATAGCACTACTAAGAGGGGTATCTATAAAGAACTCATAGGGAACTGCCTCTGTGGAAGTGATGACATAATCTAGTGCCAGTATTTAGTGTAGAACATGAGTCACCATCAAGACAAATCACAACCAGACAAAAAGAAAATCCTCACCTAACACAACGTGAGTGCCAGTACTACACTTTTTTGTCCACTGCTCCAAGATATACTTGAAATTAAACTTGCTCTCTTCATGTATTTTCAAGGAAAATATTGAGTTGCTCTTCAGTGCCTGGACAACAAAGTAAGTGAGACATTCTTCCAATACAGCAGTAATTGCTCTTATAAACTCTACAGTAGCTAAGGTATGCTAGATACTAATAAGATACACTGTTTATGAAAGAGAGCCAAGGGGAAGAGTTAACGAAATTTAGATTACTTATATGAAAAAGAAAATTAATATTGAGATGAATCTTATTAATTTCTTGTATAAAAAGAAAGCTAATAAAGCTCAGGTTCCTATGGATTAATAAATTAAACAGGTGTTTAAGAAAGTACAAATTCTGTTTCAAGCTCTTCCCACCATTAAGGTGTCCTCTATATTCTAAGTGGATTCTATCATCTAACAACATGCAGACTCACACTTCAGTCTCTCAGAAAGAGCACTAACACCTCCCTCACTGATCTACCCACATTTAATTGCATGTATGTAGCATTCTCAAAAGGCTTCATGTATTTGTTAAGTTCAAGGTTCACAAATTAATCACTACAGAAGCCTTAGTTATTTGGTAAACTGGCATGTCTAATGAACTACACTAACACTTAAATATTTTTGTGATTACACAGGGATCACTATAAACAGCTTCAATACTTCTTTAGCATCAACACACACTCTTAGGTGGTGGTCGGGCTGGTTTTGATATGTTTGAAGAAATTAACCCTCAAATATTCAAGGAAAACATGTTAGAAAGTCGTAAAACAAAACCAGACGCTTCCAACCCAGATACACTAGCATTTACATAAGAAGAATCCTTTAAACATCACAGGACCTATTCCACCTTCTAGAAGGGAATACATTCCCACGTTCAGGACTGACATATCTCTTCCTGTGATATCTGAACAATCCAGCCACATATGCTATTGCTATCCCACCCTTGAACCTATCACTAAAGGTTTTAATGCTAGTAGCTTGCCACCTTCAGCAATACCATCCCTACCATTCACATCCCCCTATCCTGGCTTAAAAGAACTGCTTCCCAGTCAAATCAGATTGCAATCCTTGTATTTCACACTGCTGCAGGACCAGCAAAGAGACAATGAAAGTACCAAAGAGATATATACACACACTGCTGTAATATCGGAAGAAAGAACCATTGCAGGAAAAATCCCTCTCACAGTCTCTCGCCTCTGAAACGCTGAGTATACAATTCCACAAAGAAGGTGGGAAAATGGAGCATGTTCTATTGCAGGCAACTCTGAAGCAGTTTTATGAGAGTTTTTAAGATAATAAACGTATTAAGCATGCTGTCTTCTCCCTACGCCCTAGAACTTGAAGCTTAACTAAATTCTGGTAAACTTTCCCAGGATGACAGAAAATGTTTTTTTTTCAAATCAGAGAAACAGCCTTCTACAATTTCAGTTACTCCAGAGTATAAAGCAATAGAACAGAACTTCTTAACACAGTGGCTTATGTTTCTTCCCTCCATACCAGTCCTGGAAACAGTAAAAAATAAAATAACTGACAGAACTTTTATTGGGAAAAAAAGCCAGCTGGATTCAACTCGAAGTTCCAAGCTGACAGACAGAAAGTTGTTAGGAATTCAGTAATTAATGCATTCTGTGCCAGACATTCTGTCAGTCAGGTTTCCTTCTGGCTGGCAGAAGGTGGGGTTGTGGTTATTTTTAGCAAAAATAATTAACTTCCAGTTTCACACCCATTTAGTTCAGAAGCTAAGATATTCCAGTGTGTTATACCTTAACAATTTAGAAAAAAAAAAAAACCCTTATCTATGTAAATTTAAATACTTTCTTACTTCATGAACCATTTCTGCTTCATTTACTGAACTAGTGAATACCAGCACCTTCTGAAGACTACTGTGGGTAAACCCCAGTGTTTTCAGTAACACAGCAGTTCTCTCACTGTTCATGCAGGGTTGCACAACCTAGAATGAGACACAAAATAGAGAGCTGATAATTCATGTAATCTGTATGTATTTTACTGTGTAATTCTTCCTTCTAACAAGCATTACACATTGTTATAGAATACCAAAGAGAATCTAGTAAATCATAGAATCATAGAATG